CTTAGTCAAAAAAAAAAAAAAATTCTTCCCACAACATATTTCTGGGGACAACATCAGTAACTCCAGCTAAGGAATGAATAACATCTTGACCCAGTACAGCTCCTAAAAAGTTAATTCATATTTCTTAAAAGGTTTTCGAGAAGAATCTATCTTTTCTTACAGATCTTCAATTTGTATTTAATGCCTTTTTCTTTCTCTACAAGATCAATTTTCATATGAGGACTATAAAATTAAAATTGTCATATACTACATAAAAGAACATTTCTATACAGAAGTAATTTAAATTGCTTTTTAAGTTAGCATAATATTTTATGTAAACCAAAAAATTCAAAATGATTGACTTCATACTGACACAATTTTAATGAGTTCTTCTGTAAAATTCATAAGAATATGAAATAACTCTGAATAATTCTAATTGCCCCTCTCTAAATTGTAGATAGTCTCTTTATAACTAAGTTGTAGTAGTCAAGAAATTCAATCCTGCCTTGTTTGGTGATTTCTTCAGAAACGGGGAAATTAAGCTGTTTCTTTTGACTTTTATTTTAAAATGTCATTTCATTTCAAACAAACACTGTTTATTTTTTTTTTTATTTTTTTTATTTTTTTTTATAAAAGTCAGGTTTTGCTGTGTAGTGCTATTAGTATTTAATTTTTTTATTTTATTATTTTTCAATGTTGTGACATTACCATGACTTAATGGCCTTCTCTGCATTTTATTATCTGATACATTGTTGTTGATCTGAAGTCCTTTTAGTATTTTTATTTTTAAAAAATAGTAAAATAATAAAATAGTAAAAGGCATCAACAAAACAGATAAAGAACTGGTGAAGTCTGACAAAACCAGAAATTTCTACAAATTAACAGCAAAGAACTACAACAACCTAATTAAAAAGAATTTACATTGTTGTTATTAGCTAATAACAACAATGTAAATATGGTAGAGAATATAAACAGAACTAGTAAAAACATCATGGATAAACTAAAGATAAGTGATAGGGTAGGCAAACTGACAGAAAAGGAATGCTACATCACTATTAAGGACCACAAACTAGATTTCGAGGAAAACTCTACTAGTAGAATAATAAACCCAACTTGACCTGACATCGGAAAAATAAGCAAAAAAATTCTAGAAAGGATTACCAAGCAAATTTAAAGGTTAATACCAAAAAGGTCACCAACTGGTTTACCAATATCAACGACAAGCCAAATTGCATCCTAATACAGTTTGATATTGAGGATTACTACCAGTCAATATCAAGAGATCTATTCAAGCCTGCCCTAGAGTTTGCTACTATATATTCAGACCTAACAGAAGAAGAAAAGAACATAATTCTCAATTCTCAAAAAATAAAAAACTGTCCTCATTCATAATGGGGACCAATGGATTAAAAGCTCTGAAGACCATTTTGACATCACAATGTGGTCAGTAGGCTCTGTGAAGTCTTCTGACCTTGTCAGTCTACTTATATTATACAAGCTACCTGCGTACCGTGAATTAGACATAGGGCTATACAGAGATGATGGCTTTATGGTAGTGAGGAGTTCCACAAATTTTAAAAGACATACAATTAGAAAGATAATATATAGTGAATTTAGAAACCTAAATTTAAAATTTACAGTCAACACAAAATTGAAAAGGGTAAACTTCATAACTTTAGACTTAATGAAGACATATACCTACCTTACAGAAAACCTTGTATGTACAACGCCAAGTCAAACCATCCTCTATCCATAATTAAGTACATACTCTCATCAATAGAGAAAAGAATTAGCATGAACTCTGCAAATGAAGAAATATTCTATAAACACAGTAATTTTTACAACCAAGCTCTAAAAAACAGTGGCTACAAACGCCCTAACATAGGTACCTCCACGAAATCGCTAAAAAAAGAGCATAGCTTGATGAAAAAGACGCCAACCTTGCCGAAAACAAAATTTTATTGTCTAAATGCTTATGTTATTATTTAGAGGAAAGACCAAAGTTTTTTTAATTATTTTTAAAAATTTTCCTTCTTTTTTTAGAAAATTCTAAATTTTGATTAAAAAACCTTGTTTCTATTTGTATCAGCGGAACTAGTAAATAACATAGACAATTTTTAGCACGTTTTTTTTGGTATGACACATTAATTTGAAAAATCGTGCAAAAATAGAAATAATTATCTGATGTTAATGAAACTTTCAGGAACTATTCACAGATGATCGAAATTATTACAAATATGTTTTTTTATGAAAGTCATGGTAGAAATATTTTTTAAAAATATTTATCCCCCCCCAAACTAATTTTATGAAAACGCTAGAAATTCGATCGCATCGGTTTTAGTGATTACAATAATTAAAAGCACAGGGCTTTGAGGAATGCAAATCATGTTTTTTTTGTTTTTAATTGGATACCCAATACCTGAAAATCAGCTCTGAATTGTAACATACAAAACTCAATAAAACAAAGATATTATTTAATTTCAAATGCTTTTATTTGCTTTTAGTTGTTTTTATGAATATGGACAATATTTTCTGAAAGCAAAAAAAAATTTTCGATGAAAATGAATTTTTAATACAATTATTTGTTATTTCATTAATTATAATAGATTTTACATTTAAGTTGTTAAAATATTATAAAATTAGATAAAAGCAAGCACAGGCTTTCATAAAGTGTCCCTTATGAGATAGATCTTTTTTAGCGCGTTGTAAAATTGTATCATTTTGACTAATCAGAAGAACCCCAGTAATTAAGAAATGTAATTTTGTGCTTATAATCGAGCTGTAATTATAAAATACGGAAGACCAACCAGAATATAATTAAGTTGGCGTTATTTGAGTTAAGCATTGTTCTCCGCTGTTAAGGCCTTTACTTTTGCCAAAACACGTGTGGAGAAGTTAATTTGATTTTTCAATTTCAACTGAGAAGGTTACCTACAAGTATCAGTATCATCTTATGAAATTTATATGATCTTATTTTTATATTAATCTCAGTTACGACATTTTTCCATAAATGAAATATCAAAATTAATAATAAAATGAATGCAAATACAAATAACAATAGAATGTAATAAATGTACATAAAATTATAGTATTTTATGTACAATTCTGATAAAATTTCATAAGAAAGGTACCTATAAATTAATTAGATACCTTTCTTAAGAAATATGAAATTTAATGTCACTCTTAACAGTTTTATTTTAATTTCTTTACAATATATTTCCCATAACGCATCATAAACATAAAGGTGAAAGCTAAGTAAAAAAAAAAAAAAAATTAGACCGCTGAAAGTTTTCGTTAAAAATAACGGGGGTAAATAATTTGTTCACGTAAATGTAAATTATTTCACTTTTCTCTTTCCGTAGAACAAATTAGCCTCATGGAATTCGTAAATATATCATTCATCACGTGTCAAGAGAGACGAAAGTTTATGACCTGCTTTGTTTTATTTTTTCAAATTACATCTTCTTGGCACAAAAGCTAAGTTTGGTTCAAAATATTTTAAATAAACATTATAATTTCTGATTTTCTTAAAATAAGTTTTGAAAAAATGATAATTGATATTTAAAAAAATTTCAAAGTCAGATTTCCAGTTTTTTTTTTAAAATGGAAAAAAATGGTCAATTTTGCTGACTCAAAAAAAACTAGATTTTTAACAAAAATTTCGGACGTGCTAGGAACGATTAAAAAATGGAAAAAAATACCTCAAAAATACTGACCTTTCCTCTTAATAATAACAAACATTTAGACGATAAAATTTTGTTTTCATCAAGTTTGGCGTCTTTTTCATCATGCTATGCTCTTTTTTTAGCGATCTCGTGGAGGTACCTACCCTAACATCAATTATATAAAAATAATAGTACAAACTAGAAGGAAAACAGAAAAGAGAAAATCATTTGTTAGTTTTAACAGTGAGCTTGATAAGATTAGCCATTGTAGCCAGGCAAAAAAAAAAAAAACGCAGCCCAACCTTACATGAGTCTAAAAACTTGACATATAACAAACATCCCTACTTCTATCAAAGCAGAGACTCCTTGAAAAACAAACCCTACATCACCCCCACCCCTATTCAAAACTATAAATGAGTAAAACATTCTGTTGCTTAGTTATTCCAAAGCTCTCTTGGGGATGAAACTGCCACCCAATAATTAAGGTTTAATATTGAAATTAAGCTTGAATACTGCTGACTAGTTTTGAAACAGTAATTTGTGTCATGATGGAATCATATTTTAAAAAAAAAAAAAAAAAATTCTAATCTAGGCTCTACTTCTGTATTGAATACTTTTTTTTTCTTTTTTTTAAATAAAAACAAAAATACTAAAGAACTTCGGATCATCAGTCTAACAGTTCTTTCCTATTATATCAATACACACACACACACACAATTTGCTTCACCTGTGGTTGCTATTTCTGCAGCTCTTACGAGGCAAAGAGCAAAAGCAACTAATGAACCATAGACTTGTTGCTCCAAATATGGCACAGATGTTCTGGAGAATGCTGTCCAGTGGAATTGGGAGGGCCTCTTAATATCATAGAATCGGATTGTTAGCAAAATAGGATGACCCACAAATATTGCATGCATGGATTCATAAGGACCCAGACAGCTGGAATGAAATAAAAGCACCACCACAGTCTGTACTATACACATAGGTGTTGTTACCCTTTAATATCACAACTCTCACCTAGCAACAAATCTGCTAGAGCCCTGTATTTGTAACTCTTGGGGAGTGTTTTTTTTTTTTTTTTTTTCCATATATGCATAGTCATCTCTGGTTGCTAATTTATATGAAGGCTCTGCAAATTGGTTCTCAAAATGTCTGATTTGACTTAATGTTCCAGACTCTATACACGTCTTTAGTTTTTTAATCTTAGACTTAATTTAGTTCCCAGTTTCTGAAAAGTAAACTTGTTTCAGATTATTTTGTCTCTGTAGATATTGAATTTGATAAATATTTGTGAAAAAATGTAATTTTAAACAAACTTTTGACTAGATTTTTTTTTTTTTTTTTTTTTTAAACCCTCAGGTTGTTGGAGTCAGTGATGTGTCCTGTGTTTATAGAGTGCCACTTGTACTTCAGGAAGAAGGGCTTGTGGAATTTTTCAAGAAACGCTTAAATTTAGATGTGCCTCCTCGTCAGCCTAAATTGTTGCTGTCCAAATGGCGTGTACTGGCTGATAGGTAAGAACGAAATAATTTTCACTTTTTCTTTTTTTGTAAACCTTTGGAAATGTGGGATAAGTTATATTTTTCAAAGTTGGTTTTGAAAAATATGTATTTAATTTGAAACTCACAAGTAAGTCAGTTATCACTCATTAAAGTCAGGAGGAAAGGAATGGTAAACATAGTCCTGTGTTACCAATTCCAAAATGACTGCATTTGGTATAAACTTAGCTCAGGCTGGCTAGACTTTGACAAAATGTTTGTTCTGTAGTACAAGTTTGTCATCATCATGTCTTTTTGAATTCTGGCCTTTAATTGTACTCTTCTTTGGCCCTCACTAAACCTTTGTATCTTAGTGGCCTTTATCACATTGCTGGCGGGGCGGAATGATTTTAGGAGGAAAGGGAAAGGTATACTTGATTCACCTAGGTCATCATTATCCGCATATCACACTATTTGTAGGAGTCACTTGTTGACATTAAAGATTAGTATTTGTACTTTTATCACAACATCAACTAGTGTAAATCCTGCAAGATGCTGGTGTTTTCATAACCATCAGATTCTAATCACTGTTTATCTGCAATAAAACCATATAAATATGTAATATGATTTAGTAATGTTTATCCATTTTCTCTATCATGCATTAAAAGGTGTAAAATGTTTCATATTTTTAGAGTTTATAAAGCTTTCTCTTTATTTTTCCTCCCCACCCCCATAAAGATAACAAGTGAAAGTTTATATTTTTAACTTTTTTTTTTCTTTTTTTTTCCTCAATTCAAAAATAAAATTTTAATTTTATCTACGAGATTTAAATTATGTCCAAGGAAAGGTTTTATGTTGTTTAAAATGTTATGTATCTTACTCTTTGTAATTTAGTGGTTACAAAACATTAGATAGTATCTGCTGTATTTTTTTTATTACTTGTATCTGACGAGCTCCACATTATTTTGGACAAGTTTATTCAGAATATTCGTTTTGTATAAGTCTTGATTTTATTTTATCAGAATATATATATATATATATATATATATATATATATATATATATATTTTTATTTTTTTTTTTTTTTTTTTTTTTTTTTTTTTTTTTTCAAGATTTGAACGCCTTCCCAAGGAAGTCACCATTGCTCTTGTTGGCAAGTACACCCAACTTGAAGACTCTTATGCCTCAGTGAATAAAGCTTTAAAGCATGCTTCACTTGCCGTTAACCACCGTCTCCATTTATGTGTAAGTATTTTCTGAATCATTTTTTATCTGAAAGTTTTTCTATGTTTATAAATTTATATTAAAAAATGTTCCATTTGTAAAACCCTTAACATGAGACAAAAGTTCTGTTTGAAGAAGGGAATGACCTATGACCTGTTTGAAGTGTTGTGGGTGGTTGAAACAAAGATGAGGATAGTTAAAAACATTAATTGAAAAATTGCATTTTTAAAATAATTTTGTCTGTCTGCCTGCCTTGTGAAAAAAATGAACTCCCTAACAATGACTTTTAAGATGAGCATGCAATTACTCTACTGCAGGTGATAATGATTTTTTTTCATATCAACTAATACAATGAGTAATATTTGGCTAAAGTATTTATCATTGAGGCTTGTACACACCTTCCATCTCACAACACGTCTTCTGTGGAAGACTCCTCCACCAGTTTGGCACAAAATCTTGACAGAGTACAAGTCTGTAGAAAATGTCACTCTATTTTAAATGAAAAGCTTTGAAAATGTCTTAATAATAAGCAATAAAAAGACTAAGCAATAATAACTCTTTTCAAAATACAAATGTTTCTGTATTTCTATAATTTTCAGTGCTGTTCTGATCTATCCTTTTGTAATTTTATTTTTCTCAGTCTATTGAAGCGGATGATTTGGAGCCTGAAACTCAGAGGGACAATCCCAGTAAATACCATGAAGCCTGGCATCAACTTGTTAAAGCCAAGTAAGTTGATAGATCCATCTTGAACTTAGAAATTAACTAAATATGATGCTGTTGTTTATTGTTATTATAATAATAATAAATAATGTTGGATTATAGATAAAAATCCATTAATTTCATAAATGAATTTCAGATATCAAAATAAAATTGATATAGGCTTTGATTGATCTTAATAAGAGAGGATGTGTTACATTTTACAGTATACATTTAAATGTTTGGAAATTTCCACTATTCATAACTCTGTATAAGTTTGTAAAAAAATTTTGAATTAAGCAGAGCATGTTGAATACAATTATATGAAAAAAGGTTAATATTCATTTATTCAAATAAAGGAAAATTTTAAAAAGATAAATTAAAAAAATAATACTTCTTAAAAAATGAATATTAAAACTGTTTAAAATAACAAAGAATAGTGGAAAAAAAATACTTATTTATTCCAATACTAATGCTGTACCATTACTACTTCCACACACGCACACATATATATTACATAGGAATTTAAAATTACCTCATTGTAATGATCATTTCACCTTACAAATCCTCTGTTATCATAAATATATTGCACACTATTTGTTGATCAGTTTTAATATTTTATATTATTAGAATTCACTTGGATTATATAACAACAAATGTTTGTGTTTGTGTGTATATATATATATATATATGTGTGTGTGTGCATACTGTAACAATATTTCATGGCACACTTAAGAGTGGTTGAGAATCATTGGGGTAATTGAACCTTGTTTTACTTCATGGCTGTTTGGCTAAAACACAGCTGCATTGCATAAGGGGGATTCAATTTCAAACCCTGCCAAAGAGCACATGTAATCTTTCAGATATTGAAAGTCCATATGTACTACATTTTTTTATTTTTGTAAAATATAAATCAGTAATTTGTAAGGAATTATTAAATTTTTTTTTTTTTTTTAATCAGACATTATTTCCTGTTTTATATTATATTTTTAGTGGATTCATGTGTTTGAGTAGATGTCTTGTTTTTTTACAGTTAATTACATATACTGGCCTGAGTGCTTCATTGATTTTTTTTTTTCTTTTCTTTTTTTTATAAATAAAAGTATTAAGAAATAATACCAAGTTAATTAAAGGAATTACTTTATATTTTGGCTTAAAAAAAAAAAAAAATGAAGTTCGTACATTTGTTATAACAAACAGATCAGTTTTTCTTTCTGTTCAATCAGCAGCATCTACTCTTTATAACACAACACCTGGGTGGCATCAGAACTCTCAACAGCTTGTCCCACTCAACATGCAGTTTTGGGATCACCCTTAATTCTAACTTTCTGCAAGTGATCAAATGCCACTTGTTCTCAAGTTTTTATTTATCTATTTATTGTATTCCCTTTTGGTTAAATGGGTGGCTGCTTTGAAGATCCTATTTTATAGCTTTTATTGCTGGTCAGAAAAAACAACACACTTCAGACTTTGTATGTGTTCTAATGACGAATGTTTTATTGTCACTGCTTGGTGCCCTTAAGAATAGGATAAATCTAACAGCTACAAACCCCCCTTCCCCGACTGCATGTAAATAGAATGTGGTTGTTTATGTGAACACTTTTGCTGCTCTTCACCATTAAATTTCTTTTGTTATACAAGCAGATCTATTCAGGAATAGCATCTTGGCAAGCAGTCCATTTCCAACAGGTTAAAAAGTTGGTCTCTTATGATTATTGGAATTGATGAACTTTAGAATTTTGCTAACAGGAGAGAAAAAGGATTCAAATTAGGAATAACAAGTAATACCAAATATAAACATAACAAGCATCCGGTGTTTGGCATTAATTTTGATTAATTCACCATTTTGACAACCAGTTTTATTTTGGCTAAAAGGAAGAAAAAAAAATTGCTAATCAAATTTAACACTAAAAGAAATTGTGCTTATTACATGATGTACAAATTAATTTACAAAAAATCATATCTTTTTTTCTTTCCTTCTATATTTTCAGAGGGATTATTATTCCTGGTGGATTTGGAGTTCGAGGAACTGGTGGCAAAATTAATGCTGCAAATTGGGCAAGAACTAACAAAATTCCCTTTTTAGGTAAGTAATCAATTCCTTTTGACTAGTAGTAATAATGATAATAATAATAATTGCAATTTTCTTGCTCAGACATTGTACAAGGTATTATTAATGTAATAAAATTTTCTTTTTGCTTATCAGGTGTTTGCTTAGGACTTCAGTGTGCAATTATTGAATTCGCCCGTAATGTCCTAAATTTACCTGCAGCTGATTCGACAGAATTCAATCCTGACACACCTGATCCTGTGGTAAGTGGGAGGACATTCTAGCTTACTTATAGAACAAGACATACAAAATCACTGAACCAAGCCCCCGACTCCACTAAAATTTTTCAGATTAAGCATTTTTGTTATTTTTTTACTAGTTTCATCATCTTGCATTATTTTTATTATCATAGGCCAGGTTGTTTTACATTCAGCAATTTTTAAGCAGGATGGAATCGGAGGCTTTTTATTTTTTTATTATTGTCAGATGTTGCATGCTTAATGCTTGCAGAATGAAAAACAACCTGGATATTGTAATAAAATGAAAAATAAACCAGTCAGAATTAATAAGTTGAGAAATGTTTAATATCTTAACAGTAATCTATTAATTCTATAGTATGAAAAAGTTTCTGACTTGAATCCTTTTCCAAAGTATGAACAAGCATAATTTTTTTTTTTTTCCTTGGTCAATCCTAGAACATTTTATTGCTCCTGTGTATCTCCCTTTCTATATAAAGTGTGGGTCATGTCATAAAAGAGAAAAAAAATATTAAATATAACTTCACCTCCTTTAAAAAGGGTAAAGGAGTAATGAAACTCAAGACAATAAACCTGTCTTGTTTCCATCCCTTTCAACTACTTTTCTCTTTCTCACTTTGTACCATTTTTTTTCCTCCTTTCTTGCTTCTCCTAATTTGTGTGGGTGGTGTAATGGATAGTGGCACAGAATGAGAAATCTGGGAATCTGAATTCCAATCAGGCTTGTTACAATCACTTACATGCAAATATCCTTGTAAAAGGTATAAAAAATATTTCCTTCTCACAGCTATAGGTTAAATAGGACTTGTATCTAGAAAAATCATTGTTAATGCAATATTGACTTTCAAAAAAAAGAAATCCTTATAATCCAAAATGTTTTGGTTTTAAACAACTCATGAAATGGTTGATAAGCAGTTAAAGAAAATTATTATCTAATTTAATAAGATATACAATGAACCAAAATTGTGGCTTAACTGTTTAAATTTTGTTTTTTACACAGTGTCACTTAGGTGTGTATTCTAATTTTAACATTAAAAAATACCTTGGGTTGTAGCCAACAAAATCTTAGCTAACACTAAGTTTTTGATAATGACTGACATAGTGAAAAGTCTTAAACTGTCCAAAGTTCGTATTTTTCATTATCAATTTTGATTCCAGTGTACATCTTATGTGAATATTGGAAAAATACAATTTAACAATTTGTGTACATATGAAAATTTATATAATCGGGAAAAGCATTAGAGGAAGAAGGTAAAAGAAAACTAAAAATAGCAGTTGAAAGGGATGGAAACGAAAGACAAGCTGACAGTCTTGTTTTATTATTCCTTTATCCTTTTTTTAAAATTGGTAAGCTGTGTTTAATTATTTTTTTTCTTTTGTGTGTGTGTGTGTGTGTGTGTCCATTTTCAGTGTGCAGATACTACACTAATCCTCAGCAGAAGAGCTGATCTATGCATAATCCCACCATTTTTTATGCTTAGTAATTGGTGAAATTCTTAGATGAAACTGTCATTTATTAATTTGATAAATAAATTCTGATCTTAATCTATTTTTCCCCCTTCCCACCCCTTTCAGGTGATTGAAATGCCAGAACACAATCCAGGACAGCTTGGCGGAACAATGAGGCTTGGAAAACGAACAACAATCTTCAAAGATGACAATTCTCTTTTAAGTAAGTTTCTGATCAAACATTTCATGGTTTAGCTTTTTGTTCCAATCTTCAAATGGTCAAGTGGTTAGACTGTCAGTATTTTGAAAAGGAGACCCAGGTTTGAATCTCACCCTGATCAATTCATTGGGAAGGTGACTTTTGATAGCTTCATGAGGCAATCCTGGCATGCCATATCATTGGGAAGTGCTTGAAAACAATACCCCACTGGTTAATCCAAACCATGAGAGTGAATCTGTATAGACAAAACTGTTTGGAAGTTGTTAATGATTGTATTAGCAGGAAGTTGCAAGTCATCATGACCAAGTGTACTGGCCTTGTTCAAATTGGTGATTAGGCACACTTTCCCCACAAACTGTCTACAGTAGCATAGATGAAGTATAAACCACAGGTTGGCTCTGTGGGTGTTGGAGACACACATCTGCCTAAGCAGGTGTCTGCAACAGGGATTAGCCAGCCACCCTAGCAGAAAAGCACTCCTGATTTCCTTTATAATGTCTTAATATTTAATAAGGTTGTCTTGGTATACCTTAAAGACAAATGGGGAAGAAAGCTTGTTACAAGACAATCTTCCATGGAGGTGGAGGAAAAGATGTCAAAAAATCAGCATTCAAGCTCCTAAGTTTAAACATTAAAATACTAACAACCTGAACCTAGTGGAATAGGTACAACTATCTCAGCTACAATACAGGGTCATAAATGTGAGATGCAATCAAAAAGTTTGGAGATTTTATTCATGAAAAGAAATGACCTTAAAACTTAGTTTCTACTGTCTCCAGTAATCTCATAAACAGAGCTGACAGGATTCTATTACATTCAATAGAACTCCTTATTTACTAACTATGACTTAGTCTGGCACAATACTAGCATAATGAAGATTTCTTTTTTTATCTTTTTTTTTTTTTTTTTTTTTGTAATCTGCTAAATTTTTCATTACAAAAACAAAGATATCTTTAAAAAATTATCTTTACTTTTGTTTGTTGGATTTAATGTAATCTTAAGAGTTGTTTAGCCTGATGAACTTATTGCCACATTTCACAAGAACCAGTCTCTGCTTGTCTTCATTTGTACAATCTATAATGAAAAGTAGAGGGAGTTTCTTTTTCTTCCCTAGTGGTGTACCTTAAAAAACTTTGTAAACAGTTGGTAAAAATGGTGGTAAATGTATTGATTGAGCCAATTTGGCAAAATGAAGTCAGTAGTCTGAACAATTTTTGGAATGATATTGACACTTCTCAAAATTGCTTAAGATTAACTTTATGCAAATAAAGGGGGTAGAATATGTTAGAAAAATGTTAATTTGATTTCACTACATTAATTTCTGTTTTGGTGAAAATTTATAGAATTTTATATTACAATTATTTGCAAATACTAATTTTCACTAAGCAGAAAGGCAAAAAGAAATTAATTAGCAGTTAACACCTTGATTATCACTTTTTTTCTTTTCTTTTTTCTTTTTTTTTTTTTTTTTTTTAATTGGTTGGACAGTAAACTCATTTGTTGAGTTAAAACTTCTTAATGTCATTGTGTTGATGTGTCAATTTTGCGTTATGGTAACAAACCTACAATTTATTATGGTAATTGTTGTAATTATGCACTGATAAAAAAAAAACATTTATCACTTTGTTTTTTGTGTAACATTTTTATATGAGACTAATCTTTGATTTGTTTATTTTAAAGTTCACTATTTTTTTTTCTCAGTTGCACAAATGTAAAATAAAAGATTAATCTTAAAGGAAAAAACAATTTTGTTTTCCAGAAAAATTATATGGTAATTGTGATTCAGTTGAAGAAAGGCATCGGCACAGATATGAGGTTAGTGTTTTTTGATTGGATTATTTTTATTCATTTGTTTGACATGACAAATGGATTTCGAGCCAACCTTAAAAATGCAGATGGTGTGTATGGCAACCAGAGATCTGTATACAGTAGAGTTATTCCCCATTTTATTGCAGTAAGTGAATTAAAAATGTACCATGATGCTTGCAGCAAAAAAGTGTATCTTCCGGGATTCTATGACCATTTTGTTTTGTACATTTAGAAAATTTAAAATAAAATTTAAAAAAAAAAAATCACATACGCACAGTGTGTGTGTGTGTGTGTGTAATCCAATTTGTCCAAGCACTTTGGGCGCCACCAAATTTGGAATCTATCATTAATCTTGATGCCAAAGCAAACCCTATAATTTACACTGGCCGAATTCTATATATTCTGGCATTAAAGTCTCGGAACTTTTTTTTTTTTACTGTGTGTTAAGGGACAAAATTTACATTTGATAAGTTAAAATAGTTGTGTGCATGTGTTTAAAACCAAAATGTCTTTGTTGCTAGGAAATTTGTCATAACTTTTGTAAACTGTTTCATTTGTTCATCTCTTACTCTTGTCTACAATTCTCTACTCTAAAAATAGTTCAATGACTATTAAGTGTTAAAATTTAGTTTGGATAACAATTTCAATAAACAAGTAATTTCTTGCTTTCTCTTAAAAATGTTTTCCTATTGTAAACTTTACCCAAAATGACATTCAGGATTCTTTATGGCCCTAATAGTCTTGGTTTGTCAATGGTCTCTCCATTTTTCACTTCAGCAGTTTCATGTAGACAGGAGCAAACCTAGTTGCCATGGATTTGATTTAATAGAATTATAATTGCAAACTCTGGATTGATTCCAGGTACCAAGCATCAGTTTATCCTTTGCTGATTATTTTATTTTTTAAACATAAATGACACATGAGGGTTGATATGCTAGTAAAACAACCAAATCAATTTTTACCTAATTTCACTTTGCTACAAAATCAATTGTGTTGCATCAATCACTAGTTGAATTTATTAATCCACTACTGAAACAGGAAATATTTGGTGTTTAGAGAAACAATAAAACTCTTGATGCATGCATTTTATTGCTGATTCCATTTGAATCCTGTGAACATGACAGCAATGTTTTGGTTCTTAACTTTACAACTGCATCTTCTCCTCTAACACAATATTTTTGTTGGCTGAGGATTAAACATTGAATTTTTTTGAGCCTTTGAACTTAAAATTTGTTTTAGCAAAATGTGGCACTTTGCATTATACATTGATCTATTTGGATTAATATCCTTATCTTGGTTATTATTGTCATGTTTCAGCCATTGCATCTCTCTTTTTTTTCTTTTTTTTTCTTTTCTTTTCAGGTAATTATTGTATTCACTAAGCTTGTCCAAATAGATTAATATGAAATAAAATTCAGATAGAAATTACTGAATCTGGATGCTCCTTCAAAATGAAAAAGATTGTCAATGATTTAAGGACTAAGGAAAAAATTGGGCAATCTTTGGACTTTTTATATTCACTTCCTAAAAATTGTTAGTTTGAGGAAACTATTTGTTAATGAGCTTTGTATGTATTTGGTTTTCGTTTTCTTTTCTTTTTTTTTCTTTTCTTTTTTTTTTTAACTGAACATCTGCATTTTTGATTTGATAATGGCCTGGAATGTTTGAACTTGTATTCTGATTTTTGCGATCTTTTAACATCATAAATTACTGATTCTCATATTCAAAGGTGAATCCAAAATATGTTGAGAGTATTGAACAGCATGGCTTGAAATTTGTTGGACGAAGTGAAGACGGGGAAAGAATGGAAATCGTTGAATTGCAAGGTAATTGAAATCAAACAAAATCTATCTTTTTCTTTTTTAAATTCTGTCTGGTTAATGTGTCCTCAAGCATGAAAGAACTTGACTAAGAAATTTTTTTTCAAATACTAACTGGAATGCATTTCCCATTTACCTGGGATTTTGTAAGTTGTTAACTGATACTTGGGTATAGTGTGAGTGTTTTTATGATCAGGGGTCTGTACTATACATGGCTTATACACAAGTATATACTGTAAACTTGTTAGCTAACATTTCACAGAGGTTAATTTATGTGCCTAAAAATTTATTTGTAAATAAAATAAAGTTTATAAATAGCATTTTTCTATTTATAACCTGGAAAATAATTTTCCAGGTTATAAATAAGAGAAACAATTATTTTAATTAACATTCAATATACGTGGAGTTTTCTCCCTTGAGAAATTCATAATGGGGAGTACAAACGTGGTTACTACATTTAGTTGAAAATTGCTTTCTTCTTTAACATTATTTTAATGGCATTTACATTACAAGAAATTCTATGAGTCATTGTGTTTGCTGTATTACACTAATAAACAAATGGTTCATTATTGTCATTATTCAAAAAAGATTACATATAGCATTGTACTTTTTTTTTTTTTTTCCTGATTACACTTAGTAATTTTTAGTTCAGATTTTATTAAATCACCAATTGATATTTAGTAAGTGTAACCTTTAGCACTCTGCATTTTTAATATTACTTCTTTCTACTGCATTCTTTTTCAAGGCTTCTCAATTGCACTATCCTTATTGTTAATTTAACTCAAAGTTGTTTTCTGTTGCTATAGCAGAATATGACACAACTATGAAATTCAAATTCAGGGATCAGTCATGTACTTATCTGGTAATGCTATTTAATAAACTGGTTTTGGCATTGTAATTTGTACAAAAAATTATTTTGATGTGAATCCCACAAAAACCTAACTTACTTTTCTTTTCTTTCAGATCATCCCTACTTTGTAGCAGTGCAATATCACCCAGAGTATATCTCTCGTCCCTTAAAACCTTCCCCTCCATACCTCGGTTTATTGCTGGCAGCTACAGGGAAAATCAAATCCTTTTTCAGTCGTGGTTGTCAACTCTCTCCAGAGATGTCATATTCAGAAGGCGAATCAGAGGAAGTAGAATTAAATAATTCATTTTCTAGTATCAAAGAAAATGGCATAGTTCATTCCTCAGACAGTGATTGATAATTTTTAACTATAGTTCAGATGTTATCATATTGCAAAGAAGCCTTATTTAAGTTTTAATAATGATCTTGTAAATTAGTACATTTCAAAATATCTAAGTCAGCATTCCTCAAATTTTTTTTTACTTCACAGTACACTTGTAGAATAACTAAAGCTCTGGAGCACACTTTAAATTCTAATAAGGGAAAATTAGTGATGAAATTTGAAAATATAACTTTTTGTTTAATATTACCCAAAAAAGATTAATGGTACATTTTTCATTTATGCAAAATCTGCTTTTATTTTAGAGAGTCTGATAACTGATTTAAATCCTTTGAGGATGGCAAAAGGAATATCGACTCCTTAAAGATTAAGGAATTTAGCATCCAGTTGAAAATTTCAAATAACAAAATTGACTTACAAATGGAAGCAATGTGGCATCTTGCTTTTTAACAAAGATTTTTTTTTTTTTTTTTTGTAAATATAAAAATAATTCATAAATTACTCTTCTGTTAACCTTGGTTACATTTCAGGGTGCATTAGTGTACCTGGGCACACCGATTTGAGAAACACTGATAGTAATGAAATTTGATAAGCAATTGATTATTTAATAATTTATCATCCAACACAAATCATTACAAAAAAAAAACCTTAAGATGGTCATTTTTAAATATTTTTGATGGCACTGATTTGTTGGTCTTGTATTCAAATATAACCAGTAGAATTATAAGTTTTGGTAGATAGCATGTAAGACCTGGCTATAAAGAAGCACTTTGCAAAGACTAAAGCAAAGCCTAAGATAAAAAATTTAAACAAACTTTTTCCTCACAGTATTACCATTTAAATGATCTGCTTGGTTGATGCTCTACAAACTGCTATCTGTCCCATAATAGTTATTACATCTAGTGTATAAAATGTGTACACAAAATGTAGCAACTATTATGGGACAAGACAATTCCCTACTTGCTGATTTAAAGAAAATAATTTCACTATCAGAATTTAACACCACAATTGCATTCTGGGCCTAATTTCTTTTTCTTTTACTTTAAGTTCTGATGACATCCATTGAGGTAACTCTGTATATGGTGGGACAAAATATAAACATCTGCTCTTCTAGATACAGGAAGATAAAAAGGATGTATTTAAAAAAAAAAAATAGCCCATAAAGATATCAACACTTAAAAAGTGAAATTAACTTTAACCCATTGTGTTACAAAGTGTTACAGATTTAAAGAATTGTATTTCTAAATCCCTTGTTTCTGTGTGACTATATTCCTTCTCGGGAATCAATTTGGCTAAATATAAAGTCAATAATAAAAAAAATTAAGCATTTGAGTGCAACTCGACCATTACAAGAGCAAGTCATGACACTTTCTCAAATGTTGGTTTCTTTTCTTTTGTGGTTTCAGATCCAAGGGAATTATAAATTTATTTTCTCTCTCTCTCTCTCTCTCAGAAAGTGAAAAGGCTTTCTTATGCTATGGTAACATCTGAAAAGTTATTTTAATATATTCTAGGCATTTTGGGCTTTGTGCCACTTCTAAGTTATGCTTAGAAAATCATATATTCTAGGCATTTTGGTTTCTTAAATACCATATTGTAACAGTGCTTCTTACACACACACATATATATATATATATATATATATATATATATATATATATATATATATATATATACCAACAATTAAAAAAAAATTAAAAAAAAATTTTTTTTTTTCTATTTTCTGATTTTCCCATATTGGGGAAAAGGTTTCATTCCAATATTCTGGCAATTTTTCATATTTACTTAGCAAGAGATGAAAAGCTCCAACTACAAAGGAAAAATGAAATACTTTACCTTGAAATTGTACAAGTTATACAACTCTGGTGTGTATTTAAATCTTTGCATAAAACTTCCATTTTCAAATGGTTAAATAACTTTTATGCCTTAGTTTTACAAAATTTGAAAGCCCAAGAATTTTATGGAAAAACTGACACAAAAATATCCTCACTCTGACATCAGAATAGGAAAAAAAAAAAAAAAAACTTTTGTAATTATGTTGCTTGATTTTAACATTAAAAAAAATAATTTACATTTGAAAATATTTCTGTTTATTTAAAAAAAAAAAAAAAAAATTTAAAGAATTTTAAGTGGATTTGTTTCTCACTTAATGAAGCTGGAAAACTGCTTATCGCTGGCAGAAGTTCACCTAAATGGACGTTATATCCACTCTCAATTGATTTTTATAAGGATGGTGCACATGTCTTCAAAGTTGGGCCTGATTATTTTGGAGTTTTTTTGTTTTTTTTTTTATGCCCAGTTTCCAGAAATACTCAGTTGAGCAAAGGTGGTGCTGTATAATAATAATTAGGTATGAACAATGTTATAAAATTAATATTTTAGCTATTGTATGGTTCAGTATAATAAACTGCTGTATATTCCTGAAAAATGTTGGTTAAAAATGTTTCTTACATTTTAGAGAAACAAAAAACCCCAGCAACTAATCTTATTGCATTTTGCAAATTATATTTACCTTGTTTGTTAAATTTATCTTGTATTAAGCTTTTTAAGCTTTTTTTTTTTTTTTTTAATCCTTACACATGAGCAGAGACTATTGCTTGTAGGAGTGACCCAGTTAAATTGGCATTTCAGACTGGGTTACTTCATTTTTGATTCTTTAAATTTGAAGAAGTGAAAATGTATGGGGAGAATATTATAGCAAAATATTAACTTTGATTTTGCAATGAAATTTGAAAATATTCCCTCTGGAATGAAATCAATATTGAGGATTATTCCACCAAGAATACAATTTATATAAAGTATTTGTGGAATTGTGCAAGCAAATAGCTGATTTTGTAGCAAATAGTGAATGCCAGCATTTTTTCCCAACTGTTTGAATCTCCCAATTGGATTCTGTTTTAGTTGTACACTTAGACCATTTACCATTGATATTTTTTCTCTTTTATTATTAGGCATTTTCAGAGAAAATATTTCTCAAATTAGCCTGATGTGTTTTAGTGTTTATGAAGCTAACAACATAAAATTTCTTTTGTTTTACCTATTAACATTTCAGATTTATGAACTTCTGTATAAATGGTTTTAGTTTAGATTTTGAAGTGACCAGCATGAAGAAAAAAATCTTATTCATTAATCATGCCAAGTTTTAAGTTTAAAAAAAAATATATACTTAAGAATAAGGGTGGACCATTAGATTATTTCTTTTAAAAATAAATTAATCTAATAGGCAAGATGCTTTTTGTTTTTGTATAGCCTGTGCAAACTTAGCCATGGTCACTTTTCTGACTAAATTGAAAGACTTTATATCCAATATGCTTATAAGTGAATTCTTTTAATGCTGTAATGATTGAATTTTTAACAATACAAGAGGCTTAGTTATTGCTTCAATCTCTTTTTACTAAAATCCATATTCTGATGGAAAGTAAGTCTGATCATGAATATTTCAGCATGCTCTTGTAATTTTTGATATTCCACCTTTGTCAGCAAACATCAGATAAAATGTATTATACTCTTTTCTTTCTCTCACTTATTTCATTGTCAGTTTGAAGGCTGTTTAAGAAAAAAAATCTTGACATCTCTCAAATTTTGATTTAATAATCTCAGTTTGCTCTGCTTTTAAAGCAAACAATGTAATTTTGTTTTGAAAAGGACAAGTTTCTGGAGAGCTAATTTCCTACCAAGAACAAATATATATATTTTTTTTTTTTTTTTTTTTTTTTTTTTCCCTGCCCTTTCTAATAATTTTCTAATTTTCTCCCCCCACTTGTATGTAATCAAGAAAGAAAAAACAAAAAAAAAATGAAATAAATATATTTTTGTATATCTTGCCTTTTTTATTTTATTCCACTCTCTCTTTATTGAGTGTGAAATTATAATTTTAATTTATTTTTTTTTTTTTTTTTATTTATTTATCAACCAAGATGATAAATTCCACTAAGGCACAAGGTGTTTCTGGGAGTGAAAGAGAATGAAAATATTTTAAAAGGGACCAGAAACCCAATCATAAACAAGGGATAAATATCTAATCCTGATCAAGACAGGAGAGGAGTGTGAACTGATAAGTAATCCGAATTTACTTGGTCTGCAATAAACAATTTTAAAGAATTGTAAAATTCTTTTGCACTGGAAAATACTTAAATGTTAAAAATGTAATAAGGGTGTAGGTTGTTTGTTTTTTTTTTTTTTTTTTTTTAAATTCCAGGACTTAAGTTTCATAGACTGAAACTTGTGTACATGCACATGTGAATGGTCATCAATTTCAAGAACACAAACTTTGTGATTTATCTTTAAATAATTTGACAGTTTGTGTTTTTGAAATTGATGACCATTCACTTTGTGTGCACATGTGCCAGTTTCAGTTCATATTGGTTTTGATGAACAAATACAAATTTTCACGAAGACTACATTTCAGTTAGCCCCTACTAATGTCTTGTTGCACATGGCAGAGAACACAAAGATGTTACCTTTTTTTTTTTTTTTTTTTTTTTTTTCCCAGTTTATCTAATATCTATTGCTGCAGTTGAGGCAAGTAAATTTGGTGAATTGCCTCTCAAAAGTGGTTCCTGGCCTCACGGTGAAGTCCATTAGAACCACCAAATACTGAGCCCTCTGGTCTTCCCTTATCAACAACCCTAGACACGGTCTATCTAGTTACTCCATATGTGACCCACTGAAGTGTCCTTCATGGAGTGGCTTCAACCAATTGGTAATTACATAGGGAGAGTTTGATATAAGCTGCATTTAAGTACTCCCTTTCAACCCAAGCCGACTGGATACCATTTACACAGCCCTTTTGTTTTGCACAGAAGCTGAATTTGGGTGTTTCACCAGTTACATTTGTATGCAAAAACCACTGAAATCGCAGATGGTTCTTCCAATCTGCCAAATATTTTCATTAGGCGGATTTCATTTATTGATGTCATACCTAGGCTCTACTGGCCATATGGGTGAGTCTGGTTTCCAACAGTATATGGGGATTTCACTTACTGTATGTTTCAAGAATGATCCCATGCAAAGTGCTCAAGACTCTCCCTAGATCAAAGTGACTACCACAGCTGAGTGAAGCCTAGTTTGCCAAGTATACTTTGGGAGGATATTAGGCAATCCCATAGATTCTGGTCTGGTATTTTCAAAGACCAAACAATTGAACAAACACTAACGGAAGTTGCTGGTAGCACTCAAAATTCAGTTATAGTAGTAGGAAGAGACATTGAATTAATTGTCATACTGGTTGATAAAGCTCTCTCCCAAATCTATACATGCAATCTGACAGTATCAAACAAACACTTCATCCATAGGCAAGGGATCACATTGTTGCTCATGCAATTAATGGGTGTAACTTGGTATCTGCACTATACAATATCGGGTTGTGTAAGTAAGGCTTTAGAGGTGCTTGTTAGAGAGGACTGGCAGATCCTTGATGTCTTCAAAAGGCCAGATGCAGCATATGGTGACATTGCCAGAGCTGGTGAGATGTTTCTTTTTCAAGATGTTGAGTGAGCATTTGCACAATACAACTAGACAAGCAGAGGTTTATCTTGTATTTGAAGATGAAAACATCACTTTCAACGTTTGACCATGCCAGCCTTCCTCTCCAACATTCTCAGCAAACAAATTCTATGTACTTATACTGAAGTTCAAGAGTGGCTAGGGAAACTGGGACAGTTGAAGCCAATCAAGTGGGGGCTGGCAGCTGTGTGATGACACTAAAACGATTATTTAATGACAAATACCCAGCTCCTCATATCTTACATGATTTAATGTGGATGCGCAAAACAGAACTAAACTGTGTAACAATATTTAACATGGTGTACTGAGGAAAAGGGTTAAAACAAAACAATTTTAAATTTTTGTCAGAAAGAATTATTTTCCTAGGATATGGAAATAGATGTATGAATTTTGTTGAAAAAAGTTACACAACGTGACTTTGCTAGACACAGCTGGCAGGTCAGTGGCCAGAGGTTAAGGTCAGCTGTTGAAAGATGTCCGGCTTAACTATCTGCTGAGAAAAATTGTTAGCCAAAAATCTCTTGAGAAAAATTATAATTGTAAACAGAATAAAAGCAGGAGGTGATGTCAGAAAAGCTGACATCATATGATGGCTCTTCCCAAAGGAGGAGGGGATCTTCCAAAACTGGAAATGTGAAATAGAAAACGAAAGAAAACTGGTTGAATTTTGGGAGATTTGCATAAAACTCACCTATTCGCCCGCATCACACCAGTTGAAAGGGACACCCATAAATACAAGTGCCCACGTGGGCCAGAGTTGGATTTGAGGCTAGTTGCAGTCGGAGGAGTTAAGAGATTTCTGATATAACGCTGCTTGCCAACCTAATGATAAGAATAATAATTATCTGCTGCTGAAGAAAAACTCTGACGAAATCCTTGTGCTGGCGGTGAAAGTACAAACAATAGTACTTGAAGTTAAAACCAGTTGTTGCTGAAGAAGAAAAACTCCAACAAATTAGTTGGATAAAAGGTATTACACAGGTTTGTGAGCTGAATGGTTAAAAAATTACGTGTCACCGTGGTAGAGGTGGCTATCTTGGTTTTTGAGCTTCTGAACATTTAGCTCACTAGGGACTTTATGGATTTTGAATCTGTAGGCCATAGAGTAGCATCCCTGAAAAAAAATCAGCTTTCTATATCCCCCCCCATGTTTCATTAATTTTGGTAATGCCCCTGGTCTATAATTGAGTGACAAACCTCTCTCCACTGAGCCCTGTCCATGAGAGTACTAGCAATCTTCAAACAACTTTCCAGTTTTTGATATTCTTTGTTGTTAAACAAAGAAGAGTAGAACAAAGTTTCCAGATGGTCTTCCTGCTTGCTGAAATTCTTAAAAGCAATATTTCCAGCAGCCTCCTTCTCAAACTCTTTGTACTGACTGATGATGACATCACAGACTTGCTGACTTGTTTTTTTGTCCATCATGTGGGAAAGACATTTAGACTGTCTTTTGCGGTAGATTTATTTTCATAAATGGATCCAGGGTTCAGTCATGCAAGAGGGTATCTAAGGGGGAGACTTTGCCAGAAATCTCTCAATGATGGTGATGAACATTATCTTTGTTGCAATTCCACATGCAAACAGATCTTTTATTGACACATTTGCTTTGTTGGATAAATTTTGCAAGATCTCTATTTGCCAGAAATCCATACTTTATCTTTGCAGCATCTTTATGCATATATGAGCTTGACAAAATTATTACAAATTCAGTTTGGAAAATATAATTTTTTTTTGTGTGTGCTCTTCCTTTACAAATTCTAAGTTTCACAATCATGCTAAAAAGATCATCTACAAGGAAAGCAAACAATGGTTTATTGCTCTATTTTATCAGAAACAATTTAATGTCTTTTGAAACACAAAAATCTGCAGTTTTACTGCAAATGTCATTCACGTTTGGCAGCACCAGAGAAGAACTTGGTCGAAAAACTTATTTCTGATTTTAAATTATCAAATTTGATGATGTCTGACCAGATGTCTATGAATCATTCTGTTGTAGAGTAGCTAGCACCCCTTCAGCACTCTACCAAATGGCCTGGTTCATATCCTTAAATAGTCTACGATTAAGGAATTCAACAGTTAATAAGTTGATGCTATGCTGATTAATATTCAGACTGATCTTACTTCATTTGCCTATACAGCATTTGATTCTCCTCTATTCCTTGTAACTTGTCTTGTTTTGTAACTTATTGTTCTGTGTTTTTTGTATGTATCCGTTAGCACCGAATACTGGTGCTGAATAAATATATTAAGCATTCATTCTTCTCTGCGTATCATTCACCTTGACAATACAACACATTCACGTATTTGTACATTTTCTAGTCATCTATGGTTACAATACTGTTTGGGGAACTCTTTGTATCAGTTTTCCCTAAACACAATCATCTTTCCCAAAAACAGAAATATTGTAGCATAAGAGTAAGGCTTTTGGTTTATATATATGCTCTCAGAAATACAAACATAAAAGGACAGGATTGCCAGATTAAACTTTTAATATAAAGCAAAATAAATAATACATATATCATTTTTTTTATGCAACAAAAGCTAAGAGATACAGGTCATTATTAACCTGCAAACTTTAAAAATAACATTCTTATTTTTTCAAAGTTACATTTTCTATTCTATCATCCTTCTCCTCTACATTTTCTTTGAGTCAAATTTGATTCTCAAACTTGTTACATTTTCCTTTAACAGGGATACTTTACATGTCTGTGTCAATGTGTATATATCACCCACCACTAACTAACTAGAGATCAAAAAGACTTTACTTTTGAAATTGACATGTGAATGAAATTTCAATTATTCAACTTTTTTTTGAGATTCTAAAATGTATTTTATTACTGTAGTATAAAAAATTTATTTTCCTTTCAGCTACAAATTCAATGAGTGAATTAATTTATCTTTGATGGAGATGTTTACTTGTCTCTGACATTCTTTCTGCTTTTCCTCTTGAGTGAGGATAGCAGTTTCATAGTCTTTCTTGTCACCTAGATGAAAAATAGAAAAGTAACTACGAGGTCATGAACTATAATTGCCAAATATTACTGACAACTTAAAAAAAAGAATCATTTTTCTTAAAAGAATTTTAGCTTGTAAAAAATTCAGATTTCTTGGATTTAGCATTTTGACTTTCATGAATTAAGAAAAAGGATGTGGGTAGCCCAATTTAGAAAATTCCAGGACTTTTAGGCTTTTTTTTTAGCCCTGGAAAAGGCTCTGTCAATTTTCCAGGGCTTTTCAAGATTTTCAGGACCTGTATGGATCACTCATATTGAAGCAGCCAAGCATTTCACCCATCAAGGTAACCAACATTATACAATGTTGGTAAGTGAAGGTGAAACAACAATGAAATAAATTGTAATACAAGAAGAGCTTCAAATCCTTTTTATTTGCTTGAAAAATAACTTTTTTTTTTTTTTTTTTTTCTACAATATAGTTTCACAAATTTTATTTTATATTTTTTTTTGCGCAGTAGAACTTAAAAATCAACAAATTTTTATCCCATAAAGGATTGTCCTGTGTTTTTTTTTTTTTTTTTGAACCTTCATTTCAAAATAGAATACATTTGTTCCAGGAGCATTTTTAAAATAAACGCAAAGAAAATAATTTTATTTGCAAAGCTTATACAAATTTGACACAAAGTGGGGAGGGGGGAGCAGCAACTTGAATTTCATAAACGAGAGAAGAGATCCATCAAATGAAAAACATTTCATTCAGAAAAATATGCCAAAAGGTTTCAGTTGAATCATGGAAGCTTTTTCAGAAATTAAAACAAAAATACACGACATTTGTCTGGTCTTTCCCCCTTTGCATTGCAAGCTTTGAATTATGAGCAAATGTTTAGAATCTTAATTTGTCTCCATTTCTTGTCAATGACAAAAAGTAAAATAGAAAATGCATCTTTGATTTCAGGCATAAAGTTTCTTTTTTTCAACCAACAAAAAAGAAAACAAAATTGGGACCAAACATTTCATTAACCAAAATCCATTAGACAGCTTTCTACTTCAATGATTTTTTTCTTATTTTTTTTTTTACAAAAACAAAATCAACCTAAGGTTTGATGTTCAAATGTGTGTAACCAG